ATTTTTATTGTTCAAAGAAACCAGCAATGCTTCCAGCCTTGCGTCAGCAATGACCGCGTGTCTGTATGTCAGATCTTACTTTACTGCGTTATACTAGCACCTGCATTTTATGTCTCCTGATAGAGCGGAAAGCAAAGCACCGCGTGCTCCTTTGCAGTATCTGCAGGAGAGAGATGCTGCGTGCTACACCTCCTGCGGGCAGGATTCATCTCTTGAATGTCATGCTTAAATTTTGGTTGGGCTGCTGAAGATCTCTTTTCCAAGTGTGTGTTCTAGTGTAAATTCAAGTGTGTGTTGCAGCTATGGGGAGCTCATCCTACAGAAACCACGGAAAAGCACTTTCCTTACTTCACAGCCAGAGTTCAGATGTCTTTCATACTGGACATGACTTTTTCAGGCTCCAGCACATGAGTTTTCATCACTCCTGCATATTTTTGAGACCAAGCAGCAGCTCCAGCTGTCCTTTACTTCAAGGGAGTCTTGCGTGCCAAAGTGTCTGTCCACAAAAGCCTGAGGATGATGTTTGCACATTCAGTCCTCGATTGAAGTAGGAAGACATTCCTCGGAATGCTAGAAAGACATTCCTCGGAAACCATCCTCTCTTCTAGGAAAGGAAATCTCCTGGGTATCCCCATAGGGAGGGCCAGGGCAGTTCACTCTTTGGACTTGGAGGGAAGCATGGCCATGAGTACTGGCTTCGCCAGGGCAAGGGTTCTCCATGCAGGCAGAAGGGCACCCTCACACCATCCGGAAGAATTCCTGCTTCAAGCCTCAGACTGGAACTTCTGTCTCCGATCTGGGGTGGTAGATGCTCCCATGATGCGCCCTGGCCACCACACCGAGCTCTGGCATTCGTCCCCCTCCCCGGCAGAGCGCCGGCAGGCAGGCAGCAAAACTGGGCGCTCTTCTGCATTTATTTCACACCGTTTGTGAAGGTTGAACAGAAGAGAGTTAAGTGGACAGTGCACGGAAAAATGCCTTTGGTAATGAGGTTACTCCTGGAAGTGCTGTGTTAGATCCTTAAGGAAGTGTTAATGCGTCTTTCTTGTCAGCTGATACTCCTTTTTAATTAGTCAGCATTGTGCAGTGTCTCAGTGCCACCTTTTTTTTAACAAAAAACTGGAAACTACTGTGGACTACAGCTGGGTGCAGAGACAAGCTCTACCTAAGGACTGCCGTCCCCGGTGCAGAAGCAGCCCTTGGGCTGGCTAGTTACCCCCTGATAGAGTCGTAACTTCATAACTGCCCAAACTTGTGGGTGTGCAGCGGTTGTTTTGCTCTTAGGTGTGTGGGAATTTTTTTGGTTTTGTTTTCCTTTTTCCTTCAGATGCAGGATTCGAAGCCTCAGCAGCAGCAGAAGGCTATCCTTCTGGACCTGTTTCGAACCCGAAACATTGCAACTATTACTATTATGTCATTACTTTTGTGGTAAGGAAATGTGTATTCCTACAGTACCCAGGCAATAGAACAATTTCTGATTTGAGGGCACATGCCACAGGTTTAAATAATAAGTCTCAGCCTCGGAGCCCATCTACACACGGTCCTTGGCCAGTACATGGCCCTCAATGTCCTTGCACCCGCACTGCATTAACACACAAGAGTATGGAGACAGTAGCCTCGACTCAGATGTAAAATAGTTAGGAAACCATATTAACAACTTGTGTATTTTAAATTCTGTTGCTTTTTGGCTGCTGGTTTGTTTTTTTTTTTAAGAAGCTCCCGTCTCTATAATCCCTATTTGAAGAGAAATGTCCTTCTTGAAGCAGAGGCATCAACTCAGTAACATAACAAGAACCAGACCCATGGCCAGCGTTTTTGTTCTGTTTCTGTGCAGTGCCCATCTCAGTGAGATCCTGGTCCCTGCCTGGGCAGCCACGAGGAATGAGGACCCAATAATACCATATAGACAAACCAGGACCCTTTTCTGTACTTATTACCCCCAGCAGAAAGGAACTGGCTAGCACACTTGGCATGCCATAGTGAGGCACTCTTGAGATTTGAAACCCGAACATCCAGCTTTCTTGTGAAGATTAAATAAGATGTAACGGAACTGCTGAGGGTGGGAGATCCTGTCACTGGCGTTGGCTACAAGTAGGAACGTAGTTGGCATGGGAAGCTTCCAAGAGTTATTTCATTGTGCCGTTAATGAGTCCATTGCAGTGAAAAGCCTTTGTGAACAACTTCCACAAAGCCTTTTACTTGGTATAGTGTATGCAGGAGGGACAGAGAAATCAGAGCTCTCTTCAAGCCGCTGTGGATATGATCACTGGAAGGGATGGCAGAATTAGAAAGATGGGGTTGCCACTGAGATTTTTTTTTAAGCCACGATGCCTGTGGTGATGCGTTGCGACATTCTGTTTTTGTAACAACACCAGAGGCAACACTGGAGGCGTTCAGAGACCGCCTGGAATCATTTGGTTTCATTGCTTTTCTCAGGTTTTTCACGTCAGTTGGTTACTTTGGCCTGTCCCTCAGCACTCCAAACTGGCATGGAAATGCCTACATCAACTGTTTCCTCTCGGCTGTTATTGAAGTTCCAGCTTACGTGATTGCCTGGCTACTCCTCCGCTCCCTCCCTCGGCGCTACTCCTTATCTGGCACCTTGTTTTTAGGGGGAGGTGTTGTCCTCTTCATTCAGCTGGTTCCTGCAGGTACAAGATTCAATACATGACTTAAATATGTAAAATGTTAGAAGTATTTTACGGTACTATCTAATAGTTCTGTAAAATTACTGGAAATGACGATCAAATTTGGAATTTGAGGTCAGGTTTATGCTGATCACCTGCAGCCGTGTTTTTATATGCATATGTATATGCTGAGTCATGCATGGCGCTCATTTATTGTGTCAAATTACTGAGCTTTTTATAGTCCAGGGGAACCAGCTTGTAAAATGAGAGCCAAAAGTGTACTGTGATTTATCTGGTTGTGCATAGAGGCTAAAAAAACCTGCAAGTCTTCCAGATTTCACTGTGTGTAAATGTCTGCAGGTTTTTGCGAAAAAGGGGTGGATTTAAGCTTGTGCTTTGTTGTTGTATAATCCAGAATTTTGTTCCATTTCAAGAATGCTGTTTCACTGGGAGAGGCCCAAAATCTGAGAAGTACAAAATAACCTGAGCATCTGCATTACACTCAGTGGGAAGTTTGGAGCCAAGTCATCTAGGGATGGGGCTATACATTGTATAATTTAAAAAAAAAAAAAAAAATCACCACCGCTAGGAAAAAAACAGTGATATGATCTTTGGGATGTAGAAGAAATACAAGTAATAAGCACAGGGGGTTGTTTCTTCACCTTGATTTTATTTTTTCTCCTCCAGATTTTAATGTCCTGTCTGTTGGCCTGGTGATGGTTGGGAAATTTGGCATCACAGCTGCATTTTCAATGCTTTATGTCTATAATGTGGAGCTATACCCAACGCTAGTGCGAAACATGGCAGTCGGAGCTACTTCCACGGCTTCCAGGCTGGGCAGCATCATTGCTCCTTACTTTGTTTACCTGGGTGAGACATCTTGCATTTCTTGCCTTGCACTACACCACTGCCCAGAGAAGTTATCTCTGAGCTTCTGCAGTGCAGGCTCAGCTTGAAGTCCCTTCGTCTGTGGTCTTTTAAGTTCCTTCTCTCACCGTGGGTCTGAGTTCACTGCTACACACTGTAGAAATGGAGTGGAGCTCTTTGGGTTTCACAGAAGAATAAGGCACTCTTGTCCTTTATTGAGGCGAGGGACCGTTCGTATAGCACCGGAGCAGGTCCGAGCTGGTCCAAGACAAAGATGGTGTTTATAAAGCGGAGTGGTTGGGATAATAATTGGTCACATCTTGGCAATGGGTATTACCCCTGGGACGCCAGTTAGTTTCCCAGGAGAGTGTAACAAGAAGCAATCTAGCAAGTAAGCGCCGGTAGGAAGTTCATTGCATTGTACTCTTCATGCGCATCCCGAGATGGGTATGTCAGGAGCAGATGAACCAGGAGGGAATCCAAACACCCCCTGAATCTGTGCTCTCTAAAGCAATACATGGAAAACATGCAGATTAAGCAGCACAAGAGTGTGTTTAATTGTGACCTTCGTGATTTTTTTTTTTTTGAGTTACTAAGCCAGGCACCTCGGCACTCATTTTGCTTTTTCATATTGTGCATGCCTTGGTCTGTAAACAGAATTACTGATTTCCTCATAGGCTTTTTTTTTGACGCTCATTACCGTCACATTCAGAGTGCTGCACAAATATTAATTGATAATTTTTTAATTTTTTTTTTTAAGTACACAGAAATGATCCTCATGTTGCAGACAGGAGAGGGTGACAGAGATTAGGGGATTAAGATGGAAGTATCTGTGAATACCGGCTGCTCAGTCCAGTGCTCAATCTTGTGTTTCTTTCACTCGCACGTGATTTATTTCCTTCTGCCATCACTGGAGGACCCGATGCAGCTTTCCCCTGCACCTAACGAGTTTTGCTTTCTGCTGAGACCTTTGATACAAAATGAGTGTGACTGCTGACTCCGGCGGAGCATTGCTGGTGTACTGCACTGCTAAGGGGTTAATGCTGGTTCACCGTGTTGGGAGAGGGGAGAGGAGACTGCTATCTGTACTCACCGGTGTTGTCTCACCGCTGCATTCCAGTGTGCCTGTAACACACTGTACCAAAAATGATGAATATACATTGTCTTTATTTCATACTTGTACAGTGCAAATGTAAAGTAAAAGGGACAGCATGACTGTGATGCTCCTTAGGGTCTTCGGTCTCCATTGCAGCACAGGTAACAGTAATGGAGAGATGGAGACAGGATAAAGTTTTTACTGTTGGTTTTTTTCTCCCCCAGGTTTCCATAGGCTCAGCCTTTAAAAAATCTTGTTCCAGTCACCAGAATAGTTTCCTAAACTTTAGGAGCTTTTAGGAGAAACTCATCAGCTGCTGCTGATATTTGCTACAGCTAAATTAGGACCTTGCAGTTCATCCAACTGATGAACACAGAAGAGATCAAATCACAAACTTTGGCTCTATGTGAAATACCCAGGGGTCTTCACTTTAATCCTAGTTTATTCTGTACATTATAAAGCATACTGCTCTATCCCAACTAAAAAATAAAGCTGTCAAGTCCAGTTTAGTACTTTCTCTACCTTAAATACTTTAATTCCTAGCTAATCCCTGTACTGAAAGACCTTTTCATTGCTGTGCTATTGTGACTTGAAGACCTTGCATCCTGCGCAAATACTTGAGGCTGCTGGCAGGGGCCGCTGCCTTCTAGTCCAAAATAATACTCTGAGTAGACCAAGGTCAGAGCCTCTTGTCTGTCACAGGAGGCCTGATGCTTTCTCCCTTTGCAATAAGGAAGGTATTTAAGGGTTCCCCCGTTAATGTCCCATTAGTCTGAAATCGGCCCCTTCAGCTGTCATCAGTCTCTTCCTTTCTTTTGCACAAGATCAGGAGGATGCACAATCCCAGGCAGCTGATGAGTGCTTGGTTGCTTATGAGCATTTTTATTCCCTCACATTGAATTATTTAACCGAGGATTTGATTCCTGATGACAGTGTAGTACTGAAGACTCCAGCAGTGACCCCCGCAGAGCTGTTACCTTGCTAAGATGTTGGCTATCCCAGTTGAAAGTGTACAAAAAACCTATTAGCTGCTACATGAACATGGGGGACGGCATGAAACTGATGGTAGATAGTGACCATCTTAGAGTGTACATTGTAGTTTTAAAATTGAAAAATCCCTTTGTTTGCTAGCAGATACCAGATGTAGCTCAGTTTTGGATTCACCTTTGGTATGTACAAAGATTTCAGCTAATTATTCCAAATTAATTCTGCGTTACAGCGATGCCTGGAATATAAATTTTACACGAGTTCATTGATTGTGGACGTATAAGTACTGGTGTCATGTCCTGTGTTCTGTCAGGTGCCTACGACAGATTCCTACCATATATCCTAATGGGAAGCCTGACTGTGCTGATCGGGATCCTTACCCTGTTTCTCCCGGAGAGTTACGGCAATCCCCTGCCTGAGAGCTTTGAGCAAATGCTGAAGGTGAAATGGTAAGGCGGCTTTCATTCATCCCATGCTTCACAAGAATTCAGGACCTCTTTCTACATAGTCCCTTTTCACAATCGGTAAACATGTTTAATCAGATCCACTGCAAAACATCAAAGCTTTCAAAGTGCCCTTTAGATTTTTTTTTTGTTGTTAATTTGACAGACGTTGACATTATGCAGTTTCTCCAGAATCTCTGAAAGAACCTGAGAGCTGATGTGCTTGAAAGTGGGGACTCGCAAATCAAGGCTGACCTTCGCATCACTTTGAGGCTGTTGCTTCATATCTCCCAACACTTTCAATCCTTTTACATCATTCACTCTCCTTAACTCTTCGTTTAAACTATTCATTTAGTAGGATGATTTACATTACAAAACACTTTACTCTTTCAGTGTAAGTTTATTAGGTACTGCTCCAAATTAAACACAGGATTTCAATATTCTAGCCTCTTTAATTTGGGAGGCTAGAGACATGCCAGGACAGCTTTTCTCCTGGTTTATTTTGTTTAGCTATAAGCAGTGACAGTTCTCTTGCCCCACCACGATTGCTATTTAAGGTACCCTGAGCAAACATCTCCACTGAAATCTGTGCACATACATTATAGTGCTGGTGCAGTGGAGGTGGCCAGTGTTGGCGAGTTAACTGTCGTGGGAGGAAAACTCTTGGGACCAGCAGAGGGAAACTGAATTAGCCAAAGTGCAGCTGCAAAGCTACTATCCAGCTTACTGAGAATTTGTACTGGAACAGAATTTGCCCTTGCAAGCAACAATAGCTGGAATTGCCTGTATCTAATTCCTGGTCGGTATAAGGAGCTGTCATTATGCTTCCAGAATAAGAAGAATTTTCGGGCCAGGTTCCTTGAGAAGGGCATGCTGCTTTTTATCACAATTAGAGACTTCTCATATATCTGCCCTAAGGCTTTTTGGCTTTGCAGTTGATGAACTGTAGCTAGAAATCCTAGAGTCAAACCAGATTGCCTTTGCAGTCTTCTTGCATAAACAGACTAAGTAACTGAATTACAGTCACGTTCAAGTGCCAAGTGGTGTTTGCTGCAGTGCTTCTGCCATCCGGAAAGGCATATTTTGCAGAGCACTTGGGTTTTTTCTAATGTTTATATTGGTAGTGTAACATGGTTATTTTAGCGGTGCTAATTAGGAAGAAGTGTCTGATGACACCCAGTAAAATGTTGTCTAGCTTCTCAGTCTTTTACTTGTTTTCAGTTTCAGAAATCGGCAACAAACCACTGGCATTAGGAATTCAAAGGAGAGTCCTAAAATTCTGGTAACACCCTTGTGAAGAAAGATGCATGCTCTCAGAGGGGCTGAAAGAAGACCAAGATCGTCTCAAAATGCATTTTCTGCTAGAGGAAAGCAAACAAAACCCAACAGTAAATGCTACTGCACCATAGTTATTGTCCCCTGTGCTACTGTACCCAAATACATAGTTTACTGAACAGATGCTGTCTACTCCCATAGGACTCTTAGTCTGTAATTCAGTGTTCTGATACCTGGGGGTTGTCAGCAGATACAGTTGTTGAGAAATGGGGGCCTGCATGTGCCGAACATGATTGATTCGAGGAGTAAGCTAGAAATGAGCCTTAGGAATAATACAGCAATGACTCCACTCAGTCAGGTTCTCAATCTAAGCTGCTTAAAGAAAAAAAAAAAGATAGCAAATGTAATGCTGGTGTTTTTTCTCACTGTGTGTGTTGACTGGATGAAGGGGAGCTGGGTGTCTGTCTTTGAAAATCTCAGCACGTGTCCTTAAAGGAAAGATCCCAGCCTCCTTTGAAATCTGTGACCAAAGCCCGATAGACTAAGTGGGATCAGAATTTAGTTGTAGCGAAGCAGACATAGACTTCACTGCAAAGACATGTTTTTTAAACAAGACATCAGAGTATCTTTTGATGTCGCTTGCTTTTCCCAGGACCTGGGATCCACTTCTGATCCACTTCTCCCTGTAAAAGCTGATGCTTTTTCATAAAGCCTGAGCCCGCTGAAATCCTTGGGCTTCATGAATGTTCAGTGTCTCTGGGGACAGGGGGAAGCCTTTAACACCGAGTAAGGACTATAGCTTGCTGACCTTCTGATGGGCCATGCCCGCTTTCAAAAGAAACAGGGGCTTTAGCAAATCAGTGATCCTATCCAAACATGCCATGCAGTTTTAGCTTTCGGGTTTTTCATGGTATATTGTCATAAGCAGTTTTTTAGATCTTTTGGGGTTCTTTTTCAAAGCATTTAATTTCTCCTTTGAATATATACCACATTGTTTTGTACCTTCAGAGAAAGCTCATTGCAGTTTCAAAAGCCTCTGCAAAACCTTTGTACCATTTACAAATTTAAAGGGGATTTGATGCTCGCAAAAAGCTGATGTTCTGTACTGGAGCTGTTCACCTGCAGCTTAAAAATACAAAAGGGCTCATTTGGGACCACAGTTTTTTCAAAACAAAAAAAAAGCCAACAAAGCCAGTGTTCTGTTTTTCAAATCCTTCAGGTTATGTATGCATTTTTTATAAGTTCAGCAAAGCTAAATTGGATGAAAACTCAAATGTAGAGCTTAGAGTTGTGCTACTACTACTGTTTTATGAATACTACACAGTTTGAAAAAAGTGTAATACCTTTTATTTTTCTATTTATTGGCTGTGCATGCACTTCTTGGCCACATAAAGTCTATCAGACCTGGCAGACTGATTTTTATCCTCCATAAATAACAATTAGCAATGATTCACCTTCTGTAAGGGCCAACAAAAGCACACTGTCTCCTCTGTAACGTGAAATTCGTGGCAAGTTGTCTCGTGCTGGCACGGCACAGGAATGAGGCTCTCCCTGTAAGTTCAAGCACAAATATAAAGCTTTATAACATTTAAATGCAAGGAATTTGTGCAGTTATTTCAAGCTGCTCTTCGGGATGCGGAAATACTGTTTACTTTCGTATTAATTTTCTGCAGTTATTCTTTTGCCATAAATGTAACGTGGCATGAGGCAACCATTATCCTGTGACCCCTGATGTTCTCATCCCTTCTCAAGCTGGAATTTCTCTCATAACAGCAGTATTTAATCTTGGTTTTACTTATTAAAAAGTTAATCTATAGCATAGCTGTTCAGACATAACTAAATTTCTCAACAAAGCCTTTATATCAGCGTAGGACAGGTTTGAGGACTTGGTTAAATATAGGTGGCCATATTTTTATGAAGATTTTTGTATTAAGTTGATACTTATTTTATGTGATCGTAGGCTTGGATATTTCGAAAAGGTAAATATTTTTGTACTGTTGAACTTTGTAGTATCTTAAAACCTAGTTTTCCTTTTTTAAATAAGAAAAAGGGTTGTGGGTTTTTTTAAATACCTTGTTTTAATCAGTCTCATTTTTCTTGCTTATACCATTGATCTCAAGCTAGTGTCGCATTTTGGTATTTTTAATGGCAGATTTAAAAAAAAAATCTTTCACAAGAGTGGAATGCCTTTCTGAAATTATGTGATGTTGTTATAAGGCCTTACGGTGTCTGAGCCCAGTAAAAACAAGAAAAGGAGATTGCTTCAGCTGATGAAGCATTTGCAAGGAGAATTTTCTGTCCTCTGCCAGGATCTTGCCCAGGCTCGCATGGGGATTTCTGCAGCAACCCAAAGAGCAATAGTCTGCGGAAGAATCAAATAGGGATGAATCTGGAGTGCCAGTTTCTGGTGACTTACTGTTTTTTTAATTGCAAAGCTGAAGAAGACAGCACTGGTTTAGGAGCTATTGGCGAAATCACATTTATTGCTAGTGAGCTATTTAAGCCTCTCACTGCAATCTTCAGCGGGGTTCCTGTGCGTCAGATACTCGGCGGGGCTCAGCATGGGACCTGTGTGCTCCCGCGCAGCTGGGGGATGCCGGTAAGGCTCTGACCTGGGGACGGGAGGGAAGCACCAGCTGGATCGCTCCCGCTGACCGCAGGGGCCGTTGGGCTGCGCCTCATCTGTCATCTCTGTCACGTTTACTTGGGTCTCTCCGTGCAACCTTTGATCCTCAGCTGGCTTACTGGATCTGCCACAGCATATGAAACTGTAGTAATTGTCACTTGTTAACGTCTGTCTTCATTGTAATAAAAATGTGCACTGGCATTGTATAACCTGCTTTCCGTGTGGATTGTAATTGAAGAATAAAGTCTCCTAACTTTAACGCTTTGTGCAAAGAAGTTTAAAGAAGTAATTAAAAACGTATTTAGCATGGATGAGGTATGAAAATAAAACCCTAAAATAAGCCCTTTCACAAATAAGCTCTTCCACACAGGAAGGCTGTTATGGTAGTACAGTTTTTCTGGCTTTCAGATGGTTCAGTCCTGCCTCTGCGATCCTGCAAAGCCCCGGACACAGACCCCGGCCAGGCGCAAGGGTGATTTTGAGGTTTAACTTCCGTTTTGTCCATTTCGTTTCCCACCTTTGAGATTTTTCACAGCTGTGCGATTCCAACATGGAATAAAAGCTCTTTTTAAATACAAGCATTCAAAAATGCTGTAAAAGGTACACATTTGGCTTTTATCAATTAGAGGTGGAGAAAATATGAGGCACGAAAAGCCAGTCGGGAACATGAATTAGCCTTATGGAGAGCAAGGCCAATTTCTGCTGCGATAATCATGCAACTTCTTAACTGAGCTCTATGGGAGACACACTCTTCCTGACGGTGTCACTAGGTAATGAGCTGGGATTTTTGGCCTAAGAATGGAATATTACTTATTACATTTATTAATTGTCAAACACATAGTACATCTTCCCTCAGAAAATAAGTGTCATTGTCAGCAAAACCTTTTTACAGCCACAACCCTGCTGGAAGGATGACGGAAGCTGTGGGAAGGTGCTGCTGCAGACAGAAACAAGGCCAGGAACCATTTAGCGCTTGGACTTGCAGAAAGCTGCCTGCCTTTGGTCGTGGGAAGAGCAAAACAACTGGTGAAGGCTCTCGGCTCACACGTGGCAACGACCCAAACCAAGGCCTTACCGAAGAACCCGTAACGCGTAGCTAAGCCCCGGGGGGTTGCCAGCAGCTGAATAATGGTTCAATTCATCTCCAGCCCCGTTTATGAACCCTTTGGGCAGTAAATAAGGGATCTGACGCCGGTGTTAATTAATGGTCTGCTTCCAACAAGGAGCCACCAAAGGGCGAGGGACATGCCACCCAGCCGGGCCTGGGCTGGGCGCCTCGTGGGGGTGCTGGAAAGCCACCCTGGGCCAGGGCGATGCTGGCCCAGAGCCCGCAGCCGAGCCCTGCTTCGGCAGGCAGGGAGCACCGGTACGAGCAGGCAGAGCTCCTGCCCGCAGGCCTCTGTGCA